CGGGCGTGAACAAGACACATATGTCGTTGCACGGAAGGTCACCGACGAGCTTCTGATTGCCATCGATCGGGAGCAAGATAAGCAAGAATCCGACAGTAGTGTGACAGGCAATGAGAAAAGGGTCTCCAGGCTGTCGCGTCGTTGACTTGGGTGCGGGATTGGAGCCCTTCAGGGGCTTGGTCGTCTCTTGGCTCTTGTAAACAAGGAGCAAGATTGGGGCAAGCATCTCCTTTGGAATTCATAATCTGACGAGAACCAAGTTTTCATTAGGTTCGCTCCTCCTATAGCACGCATCCTCCAATTTTGGGATGTGTTGACGCCTGCACGAGCATTGATCTCAGGGAAAGACTCTGCTGAAAGTTAGAACTTGGTAGAAAATGCCACATCGCGAACTGCTGCGCCGTCTAGTCATTGAAGAGCCTCTGCTTCGCATTAGAGCAAGGAGGCAACGAGGCAGAAAACAAGTGGACTGACAGGAGATTCATTTGTACAGTGAGATTCGAGAAGAAAGCGTCATTCGTAGGGTTTGGTAGAGGCTGGTCGAGGCTGATACCTCCCATGCGAGGAGTTTGAGCCTCGTCTTTGTCGGCTTGCGCATTTTGAGCGTCTTTGTCAATGCCTTACAAGCAGCGGCTGAATGAACAATTTCAGGATCTTTGTTCAGGCGAGTGCTATGCCGCCATTGTTCTTGTCGGGACTGACACAGCACCTCACGCGTCTTTGGCACTAAGAGGTTCCCAGAAGACGACTGTGCTTGTTAGGGATGGGTCCATGGCGCTTAACATCCGCATCTGAGCTTGTCTAAGGATGTATGTGCCCCAGGAGGCCGTGGTAGAAAACCAAAATCTCTGTGTAGGCGAGGAGTCCGCGACGCGCAAGGGTGCGGTCTCTTTGTTCAATGCCTTAGAGCACTCCACAAACAAATATTGAAAAACCGCGAAAGCCTTGTCGTTCACAAACTCAAGACAAATAGCATTGTCAAGCCGACTTACCTCGACGACAAAGTTCTTTGTGCAAGTCCTCACTGTAAATAGCCGCGGTGTCCATCAGCAATCACACCAGTCTACCACCAAGCTTGTTCAGGATGACGGGAGCCAGAGAGCTACCAGTCATCGTCGTCACCCCGCCTCCGGAGGATGGGCGCACGTCAACCGTCAGCATCCTGACGACGCGGCACTGGGGGCTCTGGGCCAAGGGAGCCCTGCGCAAGTTGGACCGAACAAACGCAGAAGGGCAGAATTACTTGACTGAGGTGGGCGACGACACCGAGCTAGTCGACTTGTTGCCAGTACCAGAGCCAACTGCAGGTCAGTTATCTACCAACCCAACTGATACACATCTCACTGAAGGAAGACATAGACAAGTTGAAGCCCACAATCGACATGTTGCAGCGACTCCTGCTAACAGACAAAACGCCAACAAAAGCCACCAAGACACAAACAAGCGAGGACTTGGAACTGAAGAAGCTGCGGACAAGCAATTCGTCAACATCGGCGAGAGAACGGCAGTCACAGAATCAGACAGACTGATATTCTGCAAGGGGCATTTGGCGGTCATGGAATCAATAAAGTTTCGCGGCGAGATGATGCGGGCATTTGAGCAAGAGTGCAAGGTGCCCTGGTTCAATGCAGTTGAGTTTGAAGACGACCCTATCCCACTTCTTCCACCGACAAAGCATATTCGAACGAAAGCATTGGAGCTATTGAAGGATTTCGCCGAGAATCCAATTCAACATATCGAAGACCTCCTTGAATCAGGAAGACAACACGATGCAAGCCTGTGCAAGATCTGGGATGATTCGCTGGAAACACATGGAGAAGAAATTGGTGGTAGGCCCCTGTTTGAGGCTGTTGTGCTGGATGACTGGAAGGAAGAGAGCTGTGAGACATGGGAGAGGATATACGAAGAGGGAGACCAAGAGGAGTCGGATGATGGAAGTTGGACTCTGCTCTATTGATTAGCTAGGATGGGGAGGTATTCTGGAGGTAGAGCCTCAGTTGTATGGATAGAAATATGGATCAAGTGAACAGTTGGTTTTCTGGTGAAGTGAAAGTGACATTGATCTCTGCGTCCAAATGCACGATTGCGTCATTGATCGGACGCGTCGAGTCGCGTATTTTCGTGTTTTATTCTCATTGTTCATCCTTTCGAGTCCTCAACAGCGTTGATACACAGTCAATTGCAGGTCAGAATGGCACCTTCTGCGGTGGAACCGGACAAACAGTCTCCTCCTGGTGACTCTCTGGGCTTTCTGCGTGAAAATGCCAATGTCCTGAAGACCCAAACCAATGGCACCGCAACAATTCCATCTCCCGAACCAGTGGACCAATCTGTCCCAGCAAGGACAACAACCCACGAAGAACATCAATACCTCAATCTAATCCGAGAGATCCTGTCCCGTGGCGAACATCGACCGGACCGAACAGGAACGGGAACTCTGTCGCTCTTTGCTCCTCCTCAACTCCGTTTCAGCCTCTCACAAGCCGACCCAACTTCACCGACCGCGGACAGAATCCCCATCCTCCCTCTCCTTACCACTAAACGTGTCTTTCTACGTGCCGTTACGACCGAGTTGTTGTGGTTTGTATCAGGCTGCACAACATCGAAACCTCTCTCTGACGCAGGCATCCACATTTGGGACGGCAATGGCTCGCGGGAATTCCTCGACAAGTTGGGGTTTGTTGACCGCGAGGAGGGAGACCTCGGCCCTGTCTACGGATTTCAATGGCGGCACTTTGGTGCAGCATACGAGGACTGCCATGCTGACTACTCGGGCAAAGGAGTGGACCAGATCAAAGAGGTGGTGCGAAAATTGAAGACCAACCCATATGATAGGCGGATTATCCTGAGCGCGTGGAATGTAGCAGATTTGTCCAAGATGGCTTTGCCGCCTTGCCACATGTTTGCGCAGTTCTACGTCAGTTACCCTGACGCACCGCGAGGGGAAGCAGCTCTCAAGTCGCTCAGCAATCCTTCAGACGAGACCAACAGCGAGAAGCAGAAGGCAAAGGGACATCTATCTTGTGTCCTATACCAGCGCTCCTGTGACATGGGACTCGGGGTCCCCTTCAACATTGCCTCATACGCTCTACTGACGCACATGCTAGCTCACGCGTGCGATCTTGTGCCGGGAGAGCTGATTCATACCATGGGCGACGCGCATGTGTATCTTGATCATATCGACGCTTTGAGAGAACAGTTACTACGCGAGCCACGTGAGTTCCCGACACTCAACATCAAACGGGACGATAGGGGAAGCGGTGACATGGACGGCTGGAAAGTCGAAGAGCTGGAAGTTGTAGGTTACAAACCACATGGAGGGATAAAGATGAAGATGAGTGTATGATTACGACGAAACGGGAACGGGAGTTGGGGATATATTCAACATATGTTGTAAAGAAACTTCGAGGAGGCCCAGTATTATTATGTATTGTGATCAAAGTTGGCTAGATGTCCTGTTGTGCATTGTCTAGACACCAGACTCTTGTTAATTCTTTCCCTGGATCTTCGATCGAACTAGATTTTCGCTCATTATGCCATGACCTGTGTAGGGCTGAATCGCCCTTCATGCCCATCCATATCCCAGTGAACGCCGTCGCTATGCACATTATAAGATGGATTTCAAAGTGGTGGAAATATGTCTTGCTGTATCGATTCACTTCGCATTTTCCTTGGGACCAACACCTCTCAGCAAAACCACGGTGTTCCCCGTGGCCAGACAGGCCCCGATCTTTTCGCTGAACTCCAACAGCCGCCCGCCTTCGACATGGTACACCCGTAACCGCTGCTCCTCGGTCTCGACGCGGTTGTTCACGTTGGCGACCTGCAGCCTCTTGGCCGCATCGTCCAGCATCCTGCCGATCGACCAGTCGGGCGAGAAGAAGAGGTCGGCCTTGGGCAGCTTCGCCGTTGTCGAGGCGGCCTCGGCCTCGACGTGGAGGTAGACGCGCTTCTCGGGCGGGAGCTTGTCGTCGCCCTTGGCGTTCTTTTTCAGGGCGTTGAGCGCGGCCACCTGCGCAGCCTTGCTCGTCGGGCCGGGCTTGGGCGTCAACGCCTCCTGCCGCTCCTTGCCCCAGGTCTTGAGGCGTCCGAACCCGATCCGCAGCTTCTCCTTGTTCGACTGCATTGCGATCTCGATCGGCCGTGCTCCCAGCGGGGTGAGGTTCTTGCAGTCGTGGTCCTCGCGGAACCGGTGTTTGAGGCAGTACGTCCGGTTGCACTGCGGACAGTGCACGCCCAGGTTTTGGGACGTGTTGACAAACGTCTTGCACGTCGTCTCGGCGCATTGTGTGGCGTTGACGTGGTTCGGTTTACCCTGCCCTCCTCCAGCTGTGGTGGTGCCGCCCGTTTTCCCGATGCTGTTCAGCCGTCTGTTTCTTGCCCATTCGCCCGCCCGCGGACACTTGTGGGCGGTCTCGCTGCGGTGGTCGAGACAGTAGGTGTGGTGACATGAGTCGCACCGGAAGGGGAGGAAGTCGAGTTGGTGGCAGTAGGCGAATTCGCAGTGGGCGCCGATGGCTTCGACGTCTTTGTCCATGGCGGTATAGGATGACTCTGGGGGGTTCGTTGAGGCAGACATTGTGAGAGACGGCGACGAAACCGTATATAGAGACGATACTATGACTAATCTGTAATGGAGGTTTTCACGGTGTTCCCTTGCCACTGCGGCAGGCGGAGGGGGGGACTCGTCACGGGCGCAGAGTATGAGGCTGATAATATGGGAGATGGATGAGGCTGGAAGATTCGGGACGCTGCAAATTCCCCGCGCCGAGGCTGAGTTCAGCCTTGCCTCCACATTTGTCAGCCTCGTGGCGATATGCTTTGTTCATTCTTGCAGCAACCTCTGATCCTTATACTCACCTTACTTGTAGTATGATCATTCCATTCATTATCCAAGATGATTATCTCTCGTTCCAAAGGATATCACCGCGTGTCAATGTATATATCATGCTCTCTAAGTGTGTGCCTGCTTGAGCCGACTCTAAGTCTCGATTTAGGGATCAGTCCCAGAGCAAGACCGCCTTGACGGTGTCACCACTGAGTACATCGCGGGCAGCCTTCTCGATATCCTTGGCGCTATATGTCTTGATTAGTTGGTCATAGGGAAACAGCCCTTCGTAGTGTGCGGCCAACAGTCTAGGTAGAAACTCTGGAGGATAGCAGTCTCCCTGATTGCAGCCAATGTAGGTACAGCCCGCATTCACCATTTCGAAAACGTTCAACGACGGTTCTGCCGAAAGCTTGGGAGGAGAATTTTCGTCAGCTTGTGCAATGAATGCTGAGGAAGTCCAGGGACACACATCTTCGACACCCACTGTCACCACCTTCCCCTTTCTTGCAGCACTGTGCACCAGTTCTTGGATCACCTGGGGCTTTCCTGTGGTGTCTATTGCACCGTCCACACCTCGCCCGTTTGTGATATCCAAGAGGACTTTCATGAGCTCGGGTCGTACTTGGGAATTGACGCCGTGGGTTGCGCCAAATGAGCGAGCCAGTTCTAACCTCGCAGGGACGATGTCCACGGCGATGATCTTCCTTGGCGGCGTCTCGAGCATCTTCAATGCCATGATTGCGGACAAGCCCACGGCTCCGACACCTACAACGGCAACTGTCATGTCCGGAGTTGGATCGAGCACGTTCAACATTGCTAGTCACGTTAGTCGGGTCATCACTGGGCATAGACATGTCAAAGAAGCTAACCTCCAGCGCCCGTCATGACTCCACACCCTAGAGCCGCGGCCATCTCAAAGGACAAGCCTCTGTCAACTTTCACGAGTCCGCTCTGAGAGACCAGGATGTGTCTTGCGAAGCTGCTCTGTCCGTAGAAATGACTCGTGATGGGTCTCCCAGTACTCAGGCTTGAAAAGACTTTTGATCCGTCCAGCCGTCCAATTCCAAGGTTGTACTGAAACCACAGATCGCAGTACGATGTTTGCTTTCGCAGACAGTACTTGCACTCCCCACAAGAGCTGAAGACGACGGTGACGTGATCCCCTTTCACGAATCTCGTAACATTTGATCCTTTGCGCTCAACGACACCTGCACCCTCGTGGCCCAGGACAGCTGGAAACAGCTCCGGCATGGTCTTCTCCTTTGAGAAATTGAGGTCTGTGCGACATACGCCGGTGGCCTTGATGCGGACGAGAACCTCATCTGGCCGGAGGTTATCGTGGAGCTCGAGCTGTTGGTACTGGAAGGGTGCCCCGGGTTTAGACACCACGATGGCGTCGGTGATCATGTCAACGATGGATATTTGGAAAGATCACAAAAGTCGGTTGCCCCTCGTTGCCTCGCATCGGTGCAGCTGGTCAAGTCGTTTACATGCAACCTCTGACCACACAGGTTGTTTAAGGGATGCTTCTTGCCTGTTTTGAGGTGAGTTTGTCTCAAGTGGCACAGCCGGATCCACGCGTCGGAGAGCACAGGTTTGTAGAAAAGTATAGTTGTATAAGGAGACATGTGGACCAGCAATTCAGAGGTTTTGTTTGCTGGTGGCGTGCGGGGAGCGAGTCGAACCACATGCGCCACAAGTCATGCAATCATACATGCACGACGCAGTTTTCAACTCAATTCAGCACCCAACAATGGCTGAAGCTGTGAACTCTGTATTAGGACTCTGTGGTGGTTTTGGATGATATTGGCTGACGCTTCAATTTGGGCAGGCTGCAGCCCAAATAGGCATATTCCTGTCGAGATATTAATGACCATCCTTCATATACAAGCACTACTATCAGTGTCACACTAATTTATTGCCTTGTGTAAGAGCCAGAGAAGCTGACTGAGCAGGTACCATCAATGTGATGGCCCAGCTATTCTCCTTCACGACCCCGACTTTACACACACCAACAATTGCTCTTCCACCATTGATTGAACCCCAAATTCTGACCTTCTTGCGAAACTTGCCACAGCTTACAGACCGCCCAGTATAACTCTTCTTCACCTCACGATCCTCACCCAGGGATCAGTCACCAAGGCCACCTTTGCAGGAGTCTTCTGTCGATCGTGGGTGCGGCCTAGTATGCACGACATGAACTGCACCTCTCTTACGCGTCCATCTCCACGACGCCTCCATTTCTCAGTGCCAACCGCAGTGCTGTTGCTAAACCATACATGTCCAAAAACCAAGGAATCATCTCATGCTCCCGAACGCGCTGTACCTATTCGATTAACCCAAGCAAGCAAGAGGAGAGATCTAGGGATGTGCTATGCGGGTGGCTAAGCTGGCGAAGACCTTGGGTAAAAGAGCAGGACCTGCCTATCTTTTGACATTTGGTCACATCAAAGGTTGGCAAGGAGAAATGAACGGGCCCGATGCCGAATACTGTCGGAATTTTGGGAACATCGGAATGCTAGGAAGAGGAGGTGCACCAGGTCAATGTTACTCTCCCTCCTAAACTCGGCCTGTCGACTTCAATGTCTCCCCGAAGCCGTGCGGCTGAGACTGAGTGAGCCTTGCCTAGGCAACACAGATTTCGTTACAAGCGAATCCCAAACAGACCCGAAGGTTTCGGCCGACGTGCGACCCCAGCACAGCCACAGCTTGCTTCCCCTCGCATCCGTTCACCAACATCGTCACTGGCCAAATCAATAGAGTTGGTGCCTGAGGACCCTAGGACGCTCTAAGGCCTGATGGTGCCAACTGCTCCGGACCATGTGGCGGTGCCTGACACCTTGGACCGACCTAGAACGAAAAACATCTCATCCGCGCATAAGGCGCTTGACCACATGCAGATGATTCTGCGGGAGCACAGGGATCTCGAACCGGGAAAAATGCGTGTGCCTAATCTATTCGATCATTGAAGAGCATGTGGTATCCCTCTTTCCCTGCCTTGACTTCGGTCATGGTAGAGATTAATGTCATGTGTTTATCTACTCCTATCTGCTGACTGATTTTCGATACTGTATTCCTACATATCACATAAGGATTGTAATCCGGACGTCCTAGCATCACAGAAAAGCCATATCACACCACTTGGAGCTGCGGCTGGACTACAGCTACCTGTTTGTCACTTGTCCATCTCACGCATTGACCTCTTCTCCGCGTTATTCTCAATTCTGTACAATTCTGTTGTTTCTGGCAAACCAAAATGTCTTCATCGGAGAAAAGAAGCCTGCAGAACACCCTCGTCGTGGACTCATCGACACCAACCGATCTGCCGCCCTCATATGAACACACAGTCCTGCCTAGCACTAACCCTTGGACCGACAGCCCGTCATCACAGAATCAAGTGCCTCAACAGACTTCGACACCTCTCTCCGTCCCCTCACAAAACCCGCTCGTGGCCCTGTCCCGGCTAAAGACAGTGTCGTTCGCAAAATACCGGGTCCGCGACTCCAAGCTCTCCGAGGACCAGACCGTCACCACGACGACCAACCCGGAACTGACATCCAGCTCGACGTCGTCATCGACCTCACAACAGCAGCAAAGGACACTCCTCAAGTTCATCCGCGAGCAGGCATGTCTGCCGCCGAAGCCCATCATGGTGATCCGAGGGACGCACGGGAATGGCAGTACCGTGGTGGATTTCGATCTAAAGCTGAACCTGACGACCATGTTGGACTTGGACTGGGGAGGAACCGAGAGCGGCGGGGGCCGGGTCAAAGTTAAGCGGTACCAGCATGGCTCGTCGAATGGGTCGCCAAAGCAGATGACGAGGGAGGAGATGAACATGTCTCCCATGGAACTGTGGACGAAGAAGTTTTGTGAGGACAAGGCTGAGAACCGAAGGTGAGTCTGCCAGCTGGTTGGATCGGCGTCGATTCCTCATACTGCCTCATGCCCAAGTCTGTGTCGGATTGTGTTCTGCTCAGACCTCCAATATCTGCCTTACTACACCCTCCACTCCTCGACTCATTATGTTACTACTTGTCTCCTTTTCAGCTTTATCAGGCTCCTCTTCCACCCCAGTAATCAGCAACCAAGGACCACCGCATATATCCTTGATTTTCCAGTCTCTTTATCTCTTGTAACGAATAACTAACCACATATCTCGCCATCCAGCTTCGCGCTGCACCGCTCGACACCGAACCTCCCCATCGCTCTGCTCGAGGGCTACGCCCGGAATCTCCTAGCCACAGTCAAGTACCGGGGCAAACTACACGTGGAGTTCCCAATCCAGTACTCAGACGTGGTGATCCAGCGCAAATCGAGCAACTGGTTCACCAATATGCTCCGGCTGTATCCGACCAAGAAGTACGAGGTCGTCGAGGTGGAGTGGCCCGTCATCGGCACCGTCGCGGACGACTACAGCGGCGGCCAAGGAGACTCGGATGAAACAGCTGCAGCAAGAGGGTCGAACGCTCCGTCATCGTCGCCACCACCATCCTCTAGACCAGCATATCAGCGCACAGGGACCGGAGCTGGTACGACAGCCGCAGAACCAATCTCTTCAGCATCCTCCACCTCATCCTCTTCCTCCTCCCACCCAACCGGCAGCGGACCCGGAGAAGGCAGCGACCGGACGGGCCTCCCGTCGCTCATCGCGCAGGAATGGTGGCGGGAGTGGCAGTTCGCGATCCGGAACGCCGTGCTGTCGGGCCGCAAGGGCTGGGTCACGGTGGAAGACTGGATGGAGGCCAAGATGGGGATGAGGGAGAAGGAGAGGGCGAGGGAGTGGGGAGTTGATCACGAATGATGGCCATACCCTCTCTCTTCTCCATTCAGCCTTTACCCCTTCAGTTATTATTGCGCATTCTAATTTTTTTTTTTTTTTTGTTATTCCAAGGACGGACTACCAAGCCGGATGGATGAATGTGACGGACATGACGGATACGGCCCAAAAATGTCACCCTATCTATATCTAGGTGCAACCACAAACCACAAAAATACCTACCCGCAGGAGGGCAGTGAACCAAAACCCCGGGGTTTTAACGGATTGATGGGATTCGCCCCCCCTTTCTTTTCTATACTCCCATGAGCGAGCACGCAAGCAAGCAAGCAAGCGAGTTCTCTCTTTCCGCATCACCCCTTTGGTCTATCTTGGTTTTCATTTCTATGTTCCCACATGTGTATTGGTTGAAGACTTGGATTGAGAGGATATATGTATGTATGGCACACACATGGTTACGCGGATTTGCATATATTCTATAGGGGAGATATATGTGACCAATGGACAGATGTATGGATGAATCAATGAATTGATGAATGAATATATCGATGAATGACCGAGACTCCTCCATTTCCCACGGCACGATTGACTTGATATCTCGACCAGTAGATAACCAAGCACGTAACTGATTGATTGAATGGTACGATACTTAGCCTCTAGCTATCCCCCGCCAAAAGGCTGAGGTAACCACGAGTGGACGATCCGATAGAGATACAGTGATCGTTGAACGGGGGAATATGATATGCCGCCCGTCTGTGCTTTGGTCTACTCAAAAACGTCTGCGTGTTGTGGCTCTTCTTTGTGGTAAGGGTGCCGGAAATGGTAGGCCGTGATACGCAATGGAATGGTATGTTTTTCCTCTGCTATGAAGCTTTGGGGTTATTGACACCAGCTATTTCTTCTTGCTCTGCTATTGCTCACGACCATGCTATTGCTCTAGCCCTTGCCCACGCTCACGCTCACGCCATCCTCGTGTCCTGCTCGCTCCAGCTCCAGTTCTCGTTCCAGTTCCAGCTCCAGTTGTGTTTCCAGCGCCAGCTATTCTTTCTGATATGCCCCTCGCCTCCAATATCTGGGGCCACAGCTCCTCACATATCGCCGCCGATACCTAGGGTACGTCGATCCATCTCTGTCTCCTCACAAGCCACCAGCCCAATTCGTAGACAAAGCGGAGAGTTCCCAAGGTGCTCAGGACATGTTTTGCAGCGGAATGATTTGTTACATGGATGATGAGGATGATGATGGCAAACATGGCTCGTTGTTTTTTTCTGGTGGCGGTTCATTTGTCTTCCCAACTGACCAGCCAGCCAAGCATTCAAACGATGAACCAACCAACCAACAAGCCGAGTCATCAAGAATCCTGGGTAATGAGTAACGGGTATCCAGCCGATGTTTGATGTTTCTTGTCATGCTCGTTGACTTAGTTCTTGTTGTTTATTACACGATAGGAAGCTCTGGCAAGGACTCGTCCGAGTCGTTCTGCTCGTCGTCCGCGTCCGCAGCAGCAGCAGCAGCAGCAGGGGGCGGCGTGCCGTCGTCGTCACTGCCACCACATTCTAGTGGCGGGCGGGTGGAAAATCCGAAAGCCAGGGCGATTCTCTTGTACCACTCATCGTCCGACGGGTAGTCG